AGCCAACACCCAAGTAAGACAAAATGTTACATTACTACTTTGAAGTTTTATTTTTAAGTATTAAGAGTGTTTGCAGCGTTTGCTTCCATAGCAGCAGCATGACATGGTAGAATACACATATGCTTTGGAGTCTGACACACTTGAGTCCAGTCTCATTTAATTATTGCTGTAGACCCAATATAAACTGAGTGACCTAACAGTAGTGAATGGACCTCTCTGGTCCTGGTTATTTGGTCTATAAAATGTATATATCAAGGCCTACTTTGTACATGTGTTGCTGTCAGGATTAAATGAGATCATGGTTAGTAAAATGCCTGCCACTGCCAGGACCCCAAAAGGCACTCAAAAATGGCCCTCATTATAGTGACTAATTATCCTTTTTTAGACAACCAGATTTTACAGATCTTCACTTTAAACAAGTACATCAATGACCAATTTTTGACACAAGTCTTTATAAATTAAGATGTATTCTAAGTTTGGTTAATCTCAATGCCAACCGTGGCACAACTCTTTGGAGACTGGGCAAGATAAAACCCTAAGTTCTGTTTCTGGAATTTTTTCTAATGACGATGTCCTGAAAATTCCATTTCCACCAATGGTGAGAGCCCTGAAATGCTGAAGTAGAGATGACTATAAGGACTGATATACTAGGACTCTGTCAGGTGATTAATAGGCTAAATGCATAGTCTCCAAACATAACCACTACTTCTCTTGCTTATTGACCACTTGTAGTTTTTAAAAAGAATATTTTCAGTTTGAAAAACTGAAAAAAAAAGTTTGTAGTCAAGCCTGACTTTATGACTTAATTTCTTCAGCTTATTCTCTTGAAAAAAATAGAACAATACCTTAAAACACTTGAAGAGTGATTGAATGGGGGTAAATATATAGCTTTGCATAGGACCAACAAATACATCATGGATTCTCCATAAATAAAATAAACAACAGTTTACTCTCTTGGAAATAATTTGAAAGGGTCTAACTGGATTTAATAAGAAAGACAGTGAGGCCACATGAGGAAGCAGAGCTAGACCAGAAGATAGTCTGGCTGCCTGATTTGGGAAGATCATTTACCTTTCCTCATTCTCACTGCCATATCTGTAAAGTGGGGATAATGCTTTTTCATCCTCCTTACTCCAAAGGGTTGATATAAAAGAGGAAAACATACTAGTGTCTGGGAAAGGACTTTTAAAACTAAATATATTGTTTTTTTGTTCCCAGCAACAGTGGGGTAGACAAGCCTCCAGGAAACAACAATGAAAACAAGCTAAATACCATGTTTCTTAAAAATATATTTGAGGGTGCCTGGGTGGCTCAGATGGTTAAGCGTCTGCCTTTGGCTCAGGTCATGGTCCCGGGGTCCTGGGATCGAGTCCCGCATCGGGCTCCCTGCTCCTTGGGAGCCTGCTTCTCCCTCTGCTTCTCTCTCTCTCTCTCTCTTTCCCTCTGTCTCTCATGAATAAATAAATAAAATCTTTAAAAATATATATATATATATATATATTTGAAAAAATATATATATATTTGAAGACAACAGAGAGTTACCAAGGAAGTGAAGGCTTCGGGAGCCAAGATCTAGGAGAGAAGAAAAACCCAGCAAAGCAAACCTAACATCAGATGCCTCTGCTTTCCCTTTAAAGGCATTTACTGATGCATTTACTGACTTGACATCAGTAGCTAACAGGCTGAGAAGATGAACAAAGCTTCTGGCCATCTCACAGGATGGAGGGAACAGAAGTTGGCATTTAGGGTCTATCAAGAAAGGGGGCCCTGGAACAATCTCCTGACTTAAATTGGAACCCTTAAAGAGCAAAAAACCCTATGAGTAAGAGTTAAGAAGAAATAGATCTGCCTTCAGGAAGTCTAGCTTTGAGTCAACCCAAAATCTGATTGGAATAAAGTGATCTGCTCCTTACCTTTACTGCCTGCAAAAGAAAATCTGCTTTTTTTGGAAGGTTACAACATTTAAAGCCTCATACTCCAAAATCTTTTATACATAATGTTTGGCATTTGAACAAGCATAATCAGGCAAGCAAAAACCCAAGGAGAAAACAGAAAAAAGACAATTTAAAAATCCTTAATATATTTTGATACTCCATAATATATTCTGATACTGGAGTCAGACAAAAATCAGGAGAAAAAAATACCTCTTCAAAAATTTAATCAGATGAGTGTAAGGATACTGCTAAATTAGTTGCTTTCAAATATAAGCATTTTCTGAAAAAAAAAAACTGAAAACTTACCCTTACAGCAAACAACCTCACATGGTGTCCACTTAAAAAATGCAGTGAATTTCTAAGAATTACGATGAGATTGAGAAGAATGAAACAGAAAACCTCTAGAGCTTTCTTTTTCCTATGATTATCATAACTTCGTAAAGGGCTTTTGGGGAGATTTTCTTGGACACAAAAAAATCACTGACTTTATTCCAAAAATTTTAATCAACTGTCCTATGCAATTTATGTGAAACAGCAGATTCCACTTGGATTTTTACTACGCTTAATTTTTTAAAAGCATCATGGAATAGATTTTTGCTAATAAAATACAACCATTTTGGGGCACCTGGGTGGCTCAGTTGGTTAAGGGACTGCCTTCGGCTCAGGTCCTGATCCCGGAGTCCCAGGATCGAGTCCCGCATCTGGCTCCCTGCTCAGCAGGGAGTCTACTTCTCCCTCTGGTGCTCTCTCTCTCACGCTCTCTCTCTCTCAAATAAATACATAAATAAAATCTTTAAAAAAAATCGTTAAAAAATAAATAAAATACAACCATTTTGACTATAATAGACTAACATAATTATTTCTTCATCAATTGCTCCATTAATTCATTCATTAGAAACTATTAACATCATTATTAGAACAGGAATGAATTTTGATCATCACAATCAAATGGATTTGGTTTTGACCTAAGTACAGGAAAAAGAGACCATATTATGATTTTTAACTCTCAAGAAAGAAAGCAATACATGGATAATAATGCAGGATATATTTTAGGCTTGATACAATTTTAAACATAACTATAGAATTAAGTAACCTAATGCAGAAACCAAGTTCATCTCAGATATGGCAACAGATATGTGGACAACAACATCTGAGGGGGGAAAGGTCTATGATCTAAGACTGCTAAGAGTTTATAAGTGATTGAGTGCTTTACTGGCTATCTGCCATTCTTTAGAGGTCTTCCATTAAATCTGAATATTTCATCCATTTATCTCGGTAAATGAAATTTATCAACAATATTTAGTTTTTCATTTTTATCTAGAGCTGAATTAACTCTATCCCATCACATCAACCAGACTGCAAGATGAGAGAACCAGAATCTTTTCATGAAAAAGAGGTTGGAGAGGGACCAAAAGAGACTTGCTTCCAAAATAATTCAAACAAAGAGAGGGAAGTAGGTAAATAGTAAGTGCTAATGGTAGATGATGGCTTTAGTGTGACATTCCTGTCCTGCAGTTATTTACAATTGAAGAACATGGTATTTCTCTTGGATAGACCATAATTAGCAGAGAAATATGTTAGTTCTCCTTAGAGAGAACTCGTGGCTCCAAAGGCAGCAGGATCTAACTAAATTGACTCTGTTAATGTGCCTAAAGAAGAAATATGTCTATGAAAGAGTTAGCTATAGAGGTGTGGAAAAAGAAGCCATTTCTGGCCAATTTTAGTAACATTCAAGTAAATTAGACCAGAAGAGTCTTCACTAAAGCACAAGGGAACATGATGATCTTAGAACAAGATTATTTTTCTGGTGGATCAGTGTCTCAGCTTCCTTAGCAGCAGAGAATCACTTCAAATTTGTTCTGAGTTTCAGAGAGGTAAGCAAATCACTCTAGGTTAGGTATTTGCCCTTTAAGTCAGGATCTAGAACCATGAATCCAAACGACTATCAGCGAACTGCCACAAGAAGTATATGTCTTCAGGCTAATGATATTCACTTCCCAAAGTTGATTCATTTACTTGTAAAGTATGGATAGAGTTAAAATGTTATAATTTTTAAAGTCTTATAATTCACATAACTTGTTCTAAGAAAATTTCAATGTATATATGAGCAAAATCATGTATCTGTTGAAGATACATATGTAGCTCCAATCAAACTGGACCATTTTACTCCTTGCAATCTGAAGATCCAAATCTGCACTGGGGAACATTAAAAACAGACAGAACCTTTGAAAACCAACATGAATACCTTTTGAAGTTCTTGAAGCAGGCAGCAAACTGAACCAGGTAGAGTCGGGATGGGGAGGAAGGGTAGGAGTGCCCCTTTCCTGACAAATTCTAACCCTATCCCCTGCAGATCTCTCTCTCCTTGGAGTCCCTCCATTATATTGTTTGCTCATTCACTCAGCAAACATTTATTGAGAATCGACTGCACTACAGGCACTCAGGCTTCATCAGCAGTTCCCTCAATCCTTCCCTTGTCTTCTCTCTGCACCCTACTTCCCTCTTAACCCATTCTTAATCAGCAAGAACTCTGTATCAGTGAACAGCTTCTAACCATTTCTAATATGTACCTACTTAGTCACTTTGTCTTCTTCCAATTCCATTCTTTTTTGATTACCCCGATGAGCACAGCAAAGGGTTGTGCTTAAAACTTAAAAGGCTGTGTCTCTTTTACATATTGTTTGCCTATATTATGCTCGATCAGATTTTCAGGCACAGTCATCAAATATTTTCTCATGAAATAGTCTCATAAATGCTACCATTTGGTTTAAATTTAGAATGACTTTAGAAATCTGTTTTTATTGGGAAAGTAAATATTTGCAAAAGTAAACTGATATTACAGTGTTTCATTTTTTACTCACTAAGCAAGGCAAATTTTCACCTACCCACATCATAGCAAATAACACTCTCTCTCCATTCTGTACTCCTCTTATGATTTATTTTAGTAGAATTTATCAAGTGGCATGATGTGTCATTATGAAAATCATCAGGAGAAATTTCCCTTTGATACTTTTTGGTGCCTGGAAGCAAAACCTCTCTCTGGTTAGATTTCTAGGACCAACTCACCTGTCAAACAGTTCTCCTCCCGTGACCAGTTCTAGGACCAGACTGATTTCTGTAGGAGTTTCAAATATCTCTTTAAGTTTTATCTGGGGAAAGATATTAAAAATAAGTCATAAATTCCTTATTTTCAACTTTCTAGGAAAAAGCCAACGCTATGACTAAAATAACACTCTGTAATAGTAATACACTGGATCATTGTCAATAAAGGTACCACATTCTGGTAACAAGAAGCCATCTGTCACTCTCTGGTTGTTTTTATCAGTTTCCTCATTTCCTTAAAGGTCCTTTTGAGTTTTTATATTTTTTCTTTTGACAGTTGAAAGATACCTGCCTTAGAAACACTTCCTAAATTTTGCCAGAACATCACAATTTCTGAATTGCTCCAGAATTAAAAAACAAAAGCAGGCAAACAAAACTTCCTGAACCATTTGAAAGCATCATGGTTCCTAGTGATGCAAATGCCTCCTTCTCCTGAAAGCGAACTTGGAATTGGGATCTGAGGCAGAACGGGACATTGATTTGATTGACTATGGGTTTACATCACATTCAGATAATCCATCCAATTTTGGATATTTTCCTCAATATATCAGAGAATCTAGTGACCAGGGCTGATCTACATTTTGCTGTAGCTGTAAGTTCTGGAAAAGCCTCTCCTCTTCTCTTCATACTCTGTTGGCAAGGCCCTTCCAATTCTCTCTCTAGAGTATAGATTTGAAGACTGTGGAGCAGCCATTTAGGACCATGAAGGAAAAGCGTGAGGGTGGAAGACATCTAGGTCCTGAATGGCAGCACTGAGGAGCTGAACCAATGCTAGCAACTGTCTGCCTTCTGATTATAACATAAAGAAAATATTTGTATAGACTACCATATTCAAGTTTTCTGTTATTTATAGCTGCCTGCATTGCTAACCCATATGTTAAATTTTAAGCACTTTGCTTGGAGCCTAACTAAGCATTGCAGGTTAGTCATCCTCCTGGACACCACAACTTTCTCAAAGAAATGAGTAAAATATTTTCTTTAAGTAGTTGGCTCAATTCAAGTTATGGCCTGGAAAATGATTTTGTTCTTTTCACTTCATTGGCTCAAGAAAGCTTTTGCCAGACCTTTCCCTCAGCGTCTTTGTCTGGACATAGCCTAGAGCAGAGATTCTGAGGACATTTTATTTTCCCCATTCAAGTACATCATTTATTTGAATCTTCACATTGTTTCTGAAGTAGATACTCTCTCAAAGGAGACTGAAATGACTTTGGAAAGCAATGCATTTTCTTCACAGGCTTTTTCAGCTATGGCATATTAATAAGATAGGCACACAAAAGGGAAAAGCCCGTGTTTTATTAGAGTGAAACAAAACTCTTCAATTTTTAGTTATCCTTTTATACATGAAAACAAAGGTGGTATATATTATTGAAACTTGTTCCAGTTTGAAACTCGTTCGAGTGGTATTATTTTTAAGATTTATTCAGCTAAAGAAATGAAAAATGTGATCACATGAGGACAGGAGGTAGACCACAGTGGCTACCTATTGGTGGTGGAAGTATCCCCTTCTCATTATCAGCACCAGCAGCAAAGAACAAAAATCCCAGCCTACAACTTTGAAGATTATTTGAAATAGTAGATTAAAAACCACTTACAATGTTTGGATGTGAGAGGCGAAGAAGAACTCCTATCTCAGTTCTTACAATTTTTTTGTCCACCTAGAAGGCAAAATGAAAGAGAGAAACTGAAAGAAACTCCCACCTTAGAAATGCCTTAACGGTAGCAGAGAATCAGAAACGGCAATAATCACCTGAGTGAATCAGGTAATTGGCAGAGAGGCTCATTCTTAAGCTTTTTTGTGTCTCTTTCCTACCACACCACCCCTTTTCAGTTATGTCCTTCTTCTCTGCTCAACATAAAGTAGAACTAGTTACAAATGTGGATCACAACTTGTCAAACCTCTTGCATGGCCCTATTTCAAAAATCACTGCTCTCACCACTAAAGGCACAAGTTCATCTCAACCTGTCTCCTCCTCTTCTTTTCTGTTATGAATCCCTGCCCCAAACCCACTGGAGCTGTCAATCACTTCACCTGCCTTTCTCACCCAGAGGTGGGCACATAACCCAGCTGAATCAATCAGAATCCTCTTCCCGGGCCACGGTGATTGCATCAGGGATATCCGCCAGACCCACGTCGTCCCAGTCAGGGCCCTCCCCAGAACTTTTGCTCACATAATCAAGAAAGAGGTATTCTCTATTTCTCTGAAATTGTGAGAGCAAAAGAGGACAGAGTCTGCCACTACCAGTGACCATTTTTAATACTCTACTTGTATCAAATGAAAGATCTTTGAAAAAGAGGGGCATTGCTAGAACAGGCAGATGACACTGACAGAGCTCTTCCAAAGAGTTCTTGCCTCACGCTCTAATTCAGTTTCTGCAGATGCTTATGAAGAAAATGTGGACACAGATTATCTTTATTTTTTTAATTATTATTTTTATTATATTTCCTGCTTTATTGAGGTATAATTGGTACCCCCCAAAACACACATAATTAATGTATATAATTTGGTGAGTTTGGGCATACATATATGCTTGTATTATCATCATCACAAGGTAAATCAACATAACCTTCAAAAGTTTCTTGTGTCCTTTTGTGTTGCGGGTGTGTGTGTGTGTGTGTGTGTGCGTGTTTGTGGTAAGAACACTTCAAATGACATCTACCCTCTTAACAAATATTTAAACACACAAGACTTTATTGTTAACTATAGGCATTATGTTGTACAACAGATCTCTGGCACTTACTCACACTGTATAACTGTAACTTTATACCGCTTGAACCCCCATCTTCCCTCACTCATCCACTGGTAACCATGATTTTATTGTTTACTTCTATGAGTTGGACTATTTTAGATGTCTCATATAAGAGGAATCATGCAGTGGATACAAATTGTTTTTATCACAATCTTCTCATCAGGTTAATAAGGATTTCCTCACTATTACAAAATAAATCTATTTTTCATTATTGCATAATGTTTTAAAAATTTTTAAGAAAAAAAAAGAACCTAAGCATTTCTTATTTAGGACTGTTAGCATTCAAAACGAATGTAACATTGTATGTCACCTATACTTCAATAATAACATTTTTTTTTAAATAGTAAAAAGACTGTTAGTATTCAAATTTATTTTTCTCACTACACTTTTAGAGTTTATGCAATATAAAGTTTCCCTCTTGTTTTCACATATTTCTAATCAATATCAAATAAGTCAGTGGGATCCTTTAATTTTTTCATATTATATATTTATATTAAACAAAAGCTTTTCTAATACAAATACACATTTTAAGTAAATTTATTTTTTACCATGTTATGTCCCATATATTACATATTGGGATGACTTTTTAAAATTTTTTATTATGTTTTAGTTCCTTGAGAGTTAATTTATCTGAACTCTGGAAATACTCGGAACACACCAGATTATCTGGACAAGAAATCTTCTAATATAGTTATTTGTTTTGAATTCAGAATGAATTTCTCTTTAAAAACAATTTTGAAAAGGAAAATTATTTTTCCAGTGTACCCCAGATCAGTGGTTCTCAGAGTGTTACGGGAGAAGCCTTTAGCGCCCCTGAGATTCTTTCAGGTCATATGTGAGGCTATCCCCTTTTTCAGTTGCATATTTGAGTGAGGCCAGATTTTTATCTATACTTGAAATAAAACAACAAATTGAATGCAGAAGCAGATGAGAATCAAACTGTCTTCTCTTGTTTCTTTCAAACTGTCTTCTATTAAGCCAGACAGTAAAGAGATTTTTTTAAATAATGCTACTCCCTCTCTAGGCATTTTTTAATTTTAGAAAATCTAGTTACTTTTCACAAAAATACTATTTATGTTAAAATGTAATGGGTTTATTCTTATTATGTTTTTAATTAATAAGTACTTTTAAAAATTCTGTTCTAATCTCTAATATAGTAAATGTGTATAACTATTTGGAATTCTTAATAATTTGAAGAGTATAAAGGGCTCCTAAAGCCCAAAAGCTTGGGAACTACTACTCCAGAATATTTAATATCATACAATTTAAAATAAAAAGCAGACAGAAAAGAACAAAAATTTAGTAATAATTAAATGAAAGAAAAAATGTGAACACAGTCTCCTCTCTTTTCCCTTGAATGAATGCTGGAGTCCCAGTTGAATGAGGTGCAGGTCATGACTTCAGAGGAGGCTGACAAGGGAGAAGCAGGTAAGATTCTTAGAAGAGGGATCTTAGAGAAAAATGGGGCATGAAAAACCAAAGAGAATAAGCCGGACTGACAAAACTTGGACTACAAGTCAGAGTGATGCCAACCAAAGAAACCAAGAGCAGGTAGAGTTGAAAGGGAGAAGCTGACAAAAGAGAAATGGACAGATAAACGACAAGACAAGACTGAGGTCAGAAAGTCTTTCCCAGAGAGATAAACTGAGGGCCATTTGCTATCTTTTTGAAACAAAGTCTCAGAGTTCCTAGGTGGTCCTGCTTTGGGGAGTGGTTCCTCCACAGGTATCATGTCTTGAAGATCACACAGGTGTGCCTCTTCACTGTCTTATCATCTCACATCTTTCCGATATTCCTCTTGTTCCAGAAATTAGTGTTTCATTCCCACTCTGACTTCCCCCTCCAAGTTCCTGGGAAGGCCAGGAGACCGAGTCCTGATCTTGCCACTCAGCATCAGTCACGTTTTTCTAGAAAATAACTGTCAAGCCCACCACAAAAGTCATTGGGCAGCTATCTGAATAGTCATTACTGCGACCTGAAATTAGCTTCCAAGTGCTACTATAATTAGCATCTTCAGAAGCACCAACAGATGGCTTTAACAAATAAATATTACAAAATTGAAACCCATAAAATTACCTTCACCATTTACAAAATACCTTGAAGAATGGTAGTTTTTTATTACTAACAATTCACAATTATAAAATATATAATGTGTATTACTAAAATTCTAAGTTAGGGGATGTATTTTAGCCCAGGTCCCCCAGCAAACAAATGTGAGGCAAGTACCAACATGCTGGTGTTTTATTTGAAAGGTGCATTTAGAGCAGGGACACAGGGAAGGTAAGAGGTGACACAATGCAGTAAGCACACTGGCTACTGTGTCGTAATGAGTTGTAAAGAAACAGCAGGTCATATGGGCAGTTGCATCCACCTGGCACAGAGTACTTGTCCAGAGGAGCTGTACCAGGCCATCGTGACTTGAAGAAGTTCATAGGAAAGAGGGAGAATTCACCTGCCTTGGAACCTACTCCTCCTGTTGCCCACAGGTGAAATCTGGCCCTACGGTGGTAACTTTTCCAGACTTTTAGGTTGCCTATCCAGTCTCTTCAGCAGTTGTGATGCCATACTCCTTCTCATGAGGTGTTATATCTCATTCAAATCTAGAAGTGGCTAGAAGGGCCAGAAGTTTCAGCTGTGTGGTTGGTTGGCCTAACTGCATGCAGTGGACAGTGGGCAATGAAGCTCTCCTGGGTCCGGACGACTGGTAGACAGAAGGAATCTGAAGAAGCCCAAAGGAGTTTGTCCAGTCATAGTGCCTTCTTAAGTTTTTATCTGTCATAAGGTAAGCCAGATTGACAACCATGGAATTACAGTCCTGCCTCTTTAGCTTACTGCATTTTACTGCTAATCAGATTATTGAAAACTTTGTCTTCCACTTATATTGTTTTATTGTTCCAGTTGTCAATTTGAAATGGATTGGGCACTTGGGGTTTTTCTTAAAAACTCTTTTAGCTCCTCTATTTAAATTGCCCTAAATATTCAAAAAATACCTCCTTTTCATTGTCATGAAATCACTTTTGAAATATCCAATTTTAATGGCTTTTGAAATACTTTCAATATAAAACATACCTTTAGAAGATTATACATAAGAAAAAATTAATAAAACAATTTAATAAAAATGGTTAGTATACAGATGTGTCTGGTTTTAAAACTCCACAGAACTCGGGCGCCTGGGTGGCTCAGTTGGTTAAGCGACTGCCTTCGGCTCAGGTCATGATCCTGGAGTCCCGGGATTGAGTCCCGCATCAGGCTCCCTGCTCAGCGGGGAGTCTGCTTCTCCCTCTGACCCTCCCCCCTCTCATGCTCTCTCTCTCTCTCATTCTCTCTCTCAAATAAATAAATAAAATCTTTAAAAAAAAAAAAAAAAACAACCCCACAGAACTCAAGATTGCTTAATATTGAAAGAAATCCCAATTTTACTATCTTTCTCCATGGGGGGAGAAAAAGAAATGGGTAAAAGGCATAATTCTAGAGCAACATCAGAGAAAAAGCCTCCATCATTGGAATAGAGTTAATCAAACATGGACCCTTCATTAAGATATAGAGCAGATACACTCCCATGCTGGGGCTGAGAAGGCTGCAGAAAAGAAGGGAGAAAGGTTTGACAGATATGTGAAGAAGAAATGATGAGGACTTAGGGAAAGAAAAAGAAACCAGTTTCTGCACTGTGGAAATGATGGATAGAAGCAGAGGTGGTAAAGGAATTGAGGAGAAGAAGAGGATTTTTTAACACCAGATTTCTGGTGGACTTGAGCCACTTGGGCATCTCAGATGTGGCCTAGATCTGGACTCTGGGATTTTAAATACTCTTGGTGGGTTGGGGTAACCTGTATGAGTAGAGACTACTGCTCTACTTCTACGATTCAGTCAAGTACAGTGGCATTTCCACATCAAACACTCAGCCTCA